AGCGTGCAAAAAGCTTTCCACTAGTTGTCTAGTCTATGTGTTCTCTGGTTAGTGGTATGAGCAATGTTAACGACCTACAGCTATCGATAACATTGTTGTTTCGATATATTATTGCAACAGGCTGTTGTGCCGCCCTGTCAAATCATTTGCATAGTTTCCCAATATCATTCGGACGTTGTATATAGTAGTATACGGTACACGTACATACATACATACGTACGACTTGATACTTAAAGTAATTAAAAATGCATACGCCTATTTGAGTCTGACAATAGAAGCTACATTCAGTAACAATTTTCCAACGAGTTGAAAAGTGGCAGTCAATACACAATGTGCCGTTAATTAAAAAGGAAGAACCATAAGACTCGCAGCTCACATATCTTAAGCATAAAGATACCCAATTATATACTTATATGGAGCTATGTACAAATGTATATGAAGATATACATAACATATCTTTACGTATACTGAAAAGAAGACAGATGTATTACAATTTAGACTTTCATATTATTACATGTTTACAATATACATGTATATATAATAAATACGTAAAGATATGTACATATATCTTCATATACATATGTACATAGCTATATTTACAGTAAGTAACATTGATATTCGGTTTTTTTTCTTTTCATCTTTTTTTTCCAGTTTATGTGTAATCTTTGTTAGTATATCAAATATATTGATATTTACCTCATCGGAAAGGTTATTTTTTAATCTACAATTTAGTATTTACAATTTTTTAATTTAAATTCTTTTGTTTTTTGTTTTTGTTTTATAGGCGTTTGATGCTGAAGTTGAAAATAAAAAAAACGAATATCAATGTTATTCACTGTATATACATATATATTGGGTGTACATATATTGTTGTGATAGCTTTGAAAAAATTATTTTTCTAATGCGGGGCCGTGAGTTCAACATGTGGTTGCATATTCTTATATGTCTCATCTTTGAGCATACCTAAATATATATATACCAACCAACTGAATACATTAGCAAAATAATTATTTCAAAGCTATCACAAGAAAATTTTGCATCAACTACTTCACAAAGCTTCATATAATTATACAATATATAAAGATCATATATGTATGCATTGAAGAATTTAGGTGGGCTGAAAGATGATTCAGCATCAAGTAAGTTGACTACTTTCTGCGCGTATCTCATACATGCTTGGCAAAGCGAAATGATAAACTCATGCCTGGGGTAGTCAACTTCTTGAAATTGTGTGTTTGCCTACTGGGCGTATGTACATACATATGTCGTCATAGGAAACACAACCGAGGAATAGTCAAAGGGCCAAGTAAATCGTGGCTGTGTGACTCATTCATAACTCTAGACCATTAAATACATATGCACAGTCATATACACATACACGTACGAACACATACATGCAAATACTCAATGTATAGGGGAAGCTAATTATATTAAAATACAGATATTAACGGCTACCTAAAACGAATAGACTACGCATATTATGAAGCATTATATAGCTAACTCAAATTTATACTTGTTTGTGTAGATAGGTGCAACAACTGGATAAATAAACAAGCGTTCGCGTGTTGCTCATTATTAGGTCGAATATTAGATACATTGTATATATGTATATGCAGTATACGGTACACGTACATATATATATATATATATATATATATGTATATTGATAGTAGTTTATTTTTTATAGTGCCTATTATAGTTTTATTTTGATAATTCTTTGACTATGAATTATATTTTCTAACATTTCAAATAAATATATATTCTCTTTCTTCTAGTACTGAATCTCACAGGAATATCCTTACCGAGTAATCTCATTAAAAACACAAATAATCATCATGTATCCATATGTAAGTAGCCGTTTAATCATATTCTTGTTTTATTCACTAAAGTAAGTGCAATCACGGCATTTAACAATGTTTTAACAATGCTCATTTTATTTAATTTTCTGCGTGGAAAGAATACAAAAATATAAAAACAAGTAAGAAAGCTCTAGTTGAGACACTTCGACTACGACATCCACAAACACGTACATATACAGGCGATTGCGCTTGGGCTGCGCTGCAGTGTTGGCAATATTTTAAAAACTTATTGGTTGAATAATTTAATTTCTAGACGTACAATCTTAATGAAACTTTCAGAACGTAAACATAATGTATAAATATATGTACATATGTACATTCCCTAGCACAAATCTCTAGTATTTGAAGAACGCCTTTTACAAATATGAGGGGTGGATATAGGGGTGGGGGGTAAATTTTAACAAATATCGAAGTTGTATAAAATGCATCTTAATATACATTTAAAATTTGGAGTCTATTTTTAAAGATGTGGGAGTTATAATTTTGTAACTGATCTTCGGTAAGGTTTTTTATCGATAAAAGTATCGGAATGAGTTATCGTTTTTTAGTGATAAAATCAATATGCGCGCTGTATATACGGACATTTAAAAAAAATTGATATCCCTAGCTCTCCTATCTTCTGAGATCGACGCGTTCATAAAAACGGACAGACGGCCAAATCGACTCAGCTCGTCGCCCTGATCAAGAATATATATACCTTGTGGGGTCTGCCACGCCTCCTTCTGCCTGTTACATATATAAAAAAAAAAACATTATACCCTGATTTCCCATTTTCAAAAAAATTTGAAAACGTCAGTTACAATACGAAATTATTAAATTACGAAATATGAAAATGTCATTTTTGGGGTAGATTTAAGATCAGGTTATATGGAACACTTTTGTTGAAGCTTTGATACACTTCAATGAAATGCTGTCTTCAAAGCTGTTTGATAATTTCCCATATGTATTTATAAACATATACCTTACATAAGTACAAGACCCTTTGATAACGATGTCAAAAAGAATATGTATGTATTTATTTATATATGTATATTTATTATATTTATTTTTTATTTTTAGTTGTTGAATCATATAGAGCTCCCTTGAAGCTTATATATATATGCATATATAAAAATAAAAAATAAATATTATATATATATATATATATATGCATACATTATACATATATTATATGTTGCAAAATTCCTGTCCAAAATTTTTGTTCTGCTTAGCCAAAGGTAGCTTCTTTGATAAAGTTATTTATGTTGCATAGCATGTCCATTCCGCCATTCCATTGTTTTGACTTTTGTAGGGTTCTGGAATGCCATACTCATCGCATCCATCCACTAGTGAGCAACCTAAGGTGCCGTTTGGAGTTGGTTGGGTCTTTGCACCAGTACAGCAGATCGTTCCACATTCCACACCATTCCCACTGCCAGACACACTATCCAATCAGCAGCAGCAACAACAGCAGTTCCATCAAAATCCAAATTTCCAGCATGTCGGCAGCGTTAGCAGCTGCCCTTATCCACCCACGTCAGCCCCATACCCTGGTAACACACCATATTCGATCAATCATGTACAGAGTATGCCGTCCCATCAACATAGCCAAAGCCAATTCAATCAGCATCTTAATGCAACCTACCCAGCTGGATACACACCAGCCATGACGTCAGCATATGGATATGATTCTTCTAATCATTATGCCCGGCAGCAGGGTCCTGGCAACGTACCAAGTTTTGGGCATGGTCAGGTGCCGCCACAGGGGCATGGGCATGAGCATAGGCAGGGGTATGGGTATAGTCATGAGCACGTGCAGCACTCACTCAATCAACGCTTTACGGCTAACAATGAGGTTTGTTTTTCTATGTGCAAAACCTCGCATTAATCAATCTAGACTAAGTCCAACAAATATAATTATATTTAGTTGATTGCCAGTTGGATATATCTATTTCTTTCAGGGAACTCCCACATTGTTGCCGGCTCAAGTCTTTGATCCCGTCAAGGATGCGCACGATTTGCGCAAAGCTATGAAAGGCTTTGGCACAGATGAGGATAAGCTCATCGAAATCATTTGTCGTCGCAACAACGAACAGCGCCAAGAGATTCAGCGCCAATACAAAACTCACTTCGGCAAGGATCTAATTGAAGACATAAAAGGGGAGACAAGTGGTAATTTCCAAAAACTACTTGTTGGCCTCTTACGCCCAATCGTGGACTACTATTGTGCCGAGTTGAACGATGCCATGGCCGGTCTGGGCACCGATGAGGAGGTTCTAATTGAAATTCTGTGTACCTTATCCAATGTTGAAATTCATACCATCAAAAATCAATATTTGCGTTGTAAGTTTCGCTTGATTTGGCATGGCCGTCAGACTGCTTGTTAATGCTTTATGCATACTTATTAAGTGTTTGGAGCACACTTGGAGTCGGAGCTGAAATCGGAGACCTCCGGTAACTTTAAGCGCTTGCTTATTTCGCTTTGCGCTGCGGCGCGGGACGAGAGCGGCCGTGTAGACCCCAACAAGGCCAAAGAGGACGCTCGAGAACTTCTCAAGGCTGGTGAGCTACGTGTGGGCACCGATGAGAGCATGTTCAACATGATACTTTGCCAGAGAAACTATCAGCAACTGAAACTTGTAAGCCGTTTTTCAGAATGTCCTCTAGGCCAGTCAACATTCGATACGCACTCTTTTCAGATATTCCAGGAGTACGAGAGTATAACTGGACACTCGCTGGAGAAGGCGATAAAAAAAGAATTCTCTGGCGATATTATGGAGGGCCTTATCGCCATCTACAAGTGTGTGACAAACAAGGCAGAGTATTTCGCCTCGCGCTTACACAAGTCCATGGCTGGGATTGGCACCAATGACAAACAGTTGATACGAGTTATCATAACACGCTGCGAGGTAAATCTAGACTATATCGTCGCACTCCCGTGAAATGATCGTATGTCGAAAAATACAACTTTACAGAAGCTGAAATTGAAGTTGATATTTTTCCGAAGCTAGAGCAAACTGAGTCCCTTTTTTTGCAAGTATGTGAGACAGATGTTTTCTAAAAGTCAAATTCATTCTAATTCTAATTGGTTTTGTTTAATGTCTGTTTGTTTGTCTCTATGTTCCGATAAGTGAAAAATGTTTCGTCGCTATTAAAGCAAGCTAGTTGAGATTACCCCTCGAATTATATAGTCATTGCGATCCGGCCATTAGGGGAGTATCGTTTTCCGGTATCTTAGAAACCATGATACCATGATAGTTGCAGTGCTAGAGAGAAAGATGGATGTGCCCTTGCGTAGACTACACAAGTAGCGTATCAAATACTAAATTACTGCTGATATTAGCCATTGATATGGAAATTAACTAATTTATACATACATATATTCCGATTGGGGGTGAATCGGAAATTTGATTTAGCAGGGTTTGGTCCATGATTGAGTATAGTAGTATAACGCCCGACTGCAATTCTTAATTGCACTTAATTGTTTCAATTTATCCTGCAGATTGACTTGGCTGACATTAAAGTGGCTTTCGAGCGTTTATATGGCAAATCATTAAAGAGCTGGATCAAGGTATATAATTACTTATAACGAATTTCGATTGCGATTAAAATATGATGTTTTATAAACTTTTTTATAGGGCGACACTTCTGGACATTACAAGCACGCGCTTTATGCGTTGGTGGGAGAGCAGCGCTCATCTTAAATTTATGAATAATTCTATGTTTCTACTCTATTACATATTATGTTTCTACATATATATGTATATATGTATGTTTTTTTTATATGTATTATTGACTACGAAGTAACTATTATTTTAATAAGACAATGGAATTACCATTCAAAACATCCCAGTGCAAAATAGTATCATGTAACTTGTTCAAACTGTGCCTCGAAAAAAATAACCCTTAAGCATGAAAATTTACTATTAAAAGCAACGAATTATCTTTAGTCATAATGAAAGGCTTTAATGTCAATTTCATCAAGTGGAATTTTATCTCGATTGCGTTTTGAATACTGCATGCATGATATATATAAATAAATTAAAGAAGCACCGCCTTTTTCAATTAAAATTACAGCTGCTATTAATAATTTATGGGCGGGGCAAAGAAGTGTTTTGAATAAAAACAAATAAGAAAGCTCACCTGAACCCTTGAGCAATTGATATTTCAGTAATTCATGAAACTTTCAGATGGTGATTATAACATGGAATGTCAATGCAAAAGTCTCTAGTATTTGAAATACGCCTTTTACAAAGGTGAGGTTGAGAGGTGTATATATGTATGTAGGGTAAGCTTTGACGAAAATCGAAATTCTATAAAATACATATACCATTTATTTGGCGATACATACAAATTTATTACTGATTTTCGATAATGATTTTAATCGTTACAAATATAACGGGACAAATTATCGATTAAAACAAATTCGATATGCGCGTGGACTTAGGAAAAAGGATCGACGCGTTCAAACATACGGACAGTAGGATGGGCGGACAGATGGGCAGCTCTAAATCGGCTCAGCTCGCCCTGATTTCCCATTTTCAATGGGTTCAGGATATAATTATTTGCAATATTAGTTTTAGTAGAAATACATGTACATATGTAAATATAACCACTAGTGATATAACCTAGTTAGTTTTTGTGAATGAATTTGTTGTGATGTGGTGACTATTTAAATATTCCGCATTTATTTGAGAACCCGCACTTCGACAAAAAGCGAATCGTTGCGTAAATAGTTGCGGCTGGTGATGACCTTGTGTGGTATATGGAAGTACTGATTAGTCTGTATATAATCATCGCTCTTCTTTCGAACGTAAATCGTTTTGACATAGTCCTGTGCCTCCAGCGCTATTCCACTTTGATCCCGTATAATTATCTCTGCCTGCAAGCGACATGGCCATGTCAGAAGTGGATCATATTCGCCAGATAACACATTTAAGCATGCAATTAGATTACGTCCTTTCCAAGTGCCCTTGCCATTTAAATAGATATCCAACTGCAATCGATGTGTGTTTATCGATCTATGCTTTCTACATATACACAACTTACACGCAAGGCGTATCCAAAAGCCTTATTGGAGAACATGGCACTATGCAGAATCGTATCATACTGCTTGGCCTCCTCTAATTTCTTGGAATAGTCCTTAATGCGCCAAATCAGATGACCTGAAATAAAAAAAAAAAAAAGTTAATTCCATATATTCTATATATACACTCCCCGATATTCAATTAAAGGCACCCAGCTTTTTTTTTTTTTTTTTTTTTTTTTTTGGTTTT